TTGACCCTCAGCTCCAGGCTTTGTATAATCAGCTCAAACAGAACACAGGCTCACCAGATATTCTCCTCACAATCAACCGAAGAGAGAGAATTAATGTAAAGGATACAAAATACTGCCAGAGAAGTCTTTCATGTAGGAAATAAAGTAAGAAGAAAACTGCAATTTTATACATAGAGGTGAGCGTATAGCTTTAAAATGTGCAAGTAAACGCTGAAAAATGCCATGGTCTATGATGTACATTGGGTGTTTGGGACTTTATGTTTTGGTGTTAATTACCTGAATTAAAGAGGGAGAACAGAGGATAAGGATACAAGGCAAATGGAACAGCATAGCCAGACAGGCAAAACGGATCATGATGTGATCATTACACATTGTATACATGGATCAAAACATCACAGCTAACTGTAAATAAGTACAATTATTATGTTATTCATGGCAGAGTATGTATTTGTTTGAGAAAGGAAATAGAGATGCATTCTCAGTCTTGCCATCACCCTTGTCTGCTAGTCCTTTAGCTCAGCAGGATCCCAGGCACACATGCACAGGCTCTGCATGTGTTCAGGCTGACTGGGGAGGAGAATAGCGTAATCAACATGTGGCCTCCAGCTCTGCAGTCCAGCATGCTACTACCTGCACCACACAAGCTGGGCCTGTGCAATTGCTATTAGTCAATGAAATACGCCCCCCCCAAAAAAAAAACATAAAATGTAATGAACAAATGCATAAAACTAACCATATCAAGTAGACTATTAATACTGAAATTCAGAGTACAGGATTAGGAAATACACAGAGATTCGACTTAAGCAGTAGTAAGATTCAGAATATGAATCAGCCTTTACTTCATCTTAAGGGAAGAGGGTATGACCATAACAATAATGTCAGGAATACATGGAAGATACCTGTGAAGGGTTACTACAAATGGAGTTGTACCTTAAAGACCAATGTAGCTTCTAGTTGGAATTTGCTCTTGTTAACACTTGGCAACTATAGAGTCATGAGTTTCTATACTAGTAATAGCTTTTTCTTATTTAATAAACTATTGAAATGGCAGTTTTTTCTCTTTATAATAACAGTACTAAATGCTAATGGGTCATCTGGAAAGCTCTTTTATGGTAACAAAATTTTCTATATTCCTTTGAGAAAGCAACTTCAATAGAGTCATAAGAAATCTGTTTTAACATTTAACCTAGCAATATCATTCACTGAAATCTCTACTGTGAGAAAAATTTCAAAGAATTAAAATGTGAATATTAATTAAATATGTTAAATAGGGACCAGTAGTTGGTGTAATGACTATGTCATTGGACTTTCATGTAGTTCACTGCTGTTCAAGTCCCGGACCCAGTGGCTTAAACTCTCACCACGCATGTGTGCATGCGTGCCCAAGATCCTGAGAGGATAATTGAGGAGAAGGGATTGCAGCATGGCCATGCCCCCTGGTGGGTGATTTCTTGCTTTCTGTCTGTCTGTCACTCTCCATTTTTCTGGTGAGTGCACGCGTCCTATAGCAAAAACTTCTAAAACAAAAAAAAAAGTTAAGTAAATGATTATATACAAATGTCTAGGCAAATAAATTATCTCATAAATCCCAGAGAGCTAAAATTGTATCTTCCTAATACATAATACATTAGTTCTATGTTACAGCCACAAACTAGAGATAGATATATGTATATATGTACATTTACTTATTTTTACTCTAATATCATATAGATACTGTATAATTGGAAATAGAATATTATGGTTAAAACTTGACTGTAGTGAGCAATCTAAGAAAACCCTTAACTTCACATTTCAGCATTCTAGGTTTCAAATACTTTTATGAACATAATTATGTAATGTCTATAAGAGTCAGAAAACAGAAGTCAGAAGATATTAATGGCAAAAGCACCTTGAGGTCATTTCTGGCATTGGCCCCACCACAAAGCAGAGCTTGGAACAACCGAGTGTTAGACAACGCCTTTCCAAAGTGAAAATGGAGAGAACATTATCTAGTGCAAAGCCCTGGGCAGTTTCTGGAAACTAGAACTCCAACAGCTTCTCTCCCTTATTATCCAGAGGGCCTTAGGAAAGTTCTCTAATTGCTCTAGAAATTAGCTCTCGAATCTACTATCTAGAAATTAAAAAGGAGTACTGCATAATTAACTAGATTGAGATGAAAATCAATTAAGTTAATTTACATGAGAGGACTTGATAAATTGCAATATATTATAAGGTTATTTCATTTTATTTGTACCACACCTGAGCTTTATACAGAATTACATATCCAATGTGTCGATAATATGAAAGAAGAAATAGCTGAAATGAGGTGTTTTTGTTACCCAGATACTAGTGAGTCATTGGATACGTAGCATTTTGAACTCAATATGGAGATACAAGGTTAATTTTAGAAAATCAAAGATGATTTATGAATTATAGAATTAAATGTTCTTGCCCCAGAAATGAATACAATGACGATCTGTCAATTAAAAATAATCCTAATGGACCAGCTGCAGGCGCGCAGCAGTGACACTATGCTCTGCTAGGTTGGAGTCGCATGAACAGGTCTCAGCTCTGTGCCCTCGTTCTCTCTGAACACACTAGATGTGAGTGTGTGCCCATGGTCCTTCCTGGCTGAGGCTCGAGGGGATGGCAGTGTGAACAGCCTGCAGGGGAGGATGCTTCTCTCTCTTGCTCTCTCAAAATAAATGAATAAATGTTTTTAAAAATATATAATAATAATATTTAATTTTAAAAAAGAATGTTCTGGGGGCAGCAGATAGTGTAGTAGTTACATTGCTAGACTCCCACATGGCTGACTATGGCTCAAGTCCTAGACTTGGTGGCTTGAATATCATACCAGGCAATTGTGTGTGTATATATATATATATATATATATATGCCCAAAATCCCAGGGGACAAATGGAGGAGAAGGGATTGCAGTGCGGCAATCCCCCTGAGGGGTGATTTTCCACTTTCCTTCTCACTGTCTCTGTCTCTCTCTCTCTGGTAAGTGCATGCACTCTAAAGCAAAAACCTTTTTTTTTTAAAAAAAAAAAAGACAAAAAAGGAATGTTCATGTACTGGTGCTGCTTTTAGGTAAAGTTACACTACAACATGAAACTACTGAGACAATTAGGAGACATTCTCTTTATAAAGAATTATTCCAGGTCAGTAAACATAATAAATTGTTATTAATACAATTCAAAGATCATAAGGATTATTTACAAAGGGAAAGTGGTTTTAAGTTGTAATTTTATGAAAATGGAATTGTCCATCTAGCATTAAGACAATAAAGAGGAGCCTAGAAAAGTGTTTTCTAGTCCTTTATGCATCTTATAGGAAAAATATTGGACAATTGAAATTTTAAACACAATATCACACTTCCAGGGAAATAGTCAATATTTGGGCCAGCTGACAGTGTGGTAGTTAAGGTGGCCAGATCCCATATGGCTTACGGCGCAGTTTAAGACCTAGATCTTGCAGTTTGCAAAGTTCAATAGTGGCCCAAAAGAAAAATATTTACATTGGTATTAAACAACTACATCTTAAAAGAACATACCTCAAAGCCTACAGTAGCCTGGTCTTCATTACTGATTGTTCGTTTTTTAGTGTTGTCATCACACTTTATTTGGAGAGAAAGATGCTTAGAAAACCATGCTGACACTTGTAACAAGAGGAAGCATTAGAATAGGAGGCCAAGTCAAGTCTACATGTCTCAGCCCAGCCTAAGGTTGCATTCAGTGGCAAAATGAACTACAGTGCTGGAGGGCAACTAGTTGACTGCAGATTCAGATCCCAGGGTCAGCTTGAAAACAGGTGAGTGCTTGCGCATGTCCAAGAACCTGACAATCTGGGGTGGGAGGACTGAGGAAAGAGGAGTACAACATGATGAGACCTTGTTAAGAGGCTCCTCTTTGTTCCTCACTTTCTCTCTCTCTCTCTCTCATGGAGATGTATGTGTCTTCTATCAGAAATAAATGATCTTAAAAAAAAAAAGTGTCCAGGGGGACAGTGAGTGGCATGGTTGGTTGGGATGCTAGACTCCCACATAGCCAA